ATTCCATGACATTAAAAAATATAATTATTTTTCTTAACTCACACAATTAACCCTTAAAATCGTACATTATGTTAACCCCACTTTATATTTATTTTTGCTTTATTTCAAATACAGCATAAGTCGTTCATCCTAAATATATGCAATCCTAGAAATAGTTTCGTTTATGAATAAAAATAATTTTAATAATGTGGTGGATATACATAGATTGTTTTTAAAAGCAGTATTTTCACTTGTTGAAGGGAAAAGTGCTACAATACAAACCATTGGTTTGACCCAACTTTATTAATAATAAAAGTGGGCTCTGAGCCCCTATTGCATAAAATGATGTTAGTACTCAAGAAATATTCCAAAAATGGCTCACGCTTTGTATTTGTATCTGACCTTCCCTAGGCTGTGTGATACGCGTTCGCGTCGCTTCCAATGATAAGGCCCTGATTAAGTTTTAAAGTTTCTCGCCTTCTTATTGGCCATTGAAATAGTGTTAGTAACAATACTATTAAATGATAATGCAACAGTATGTAATAACCGAACGAAAAATTGACATGTACATCTAGTGCACGATTTTAAGACTCAGTTTCGAAAACTGAGGGGAAACCAGACCTTTCCAATTACAGTGTTAAGACGGGAGCTCGACGTAAGCGCCTTATCCAAAGTGACACCTATCCAAAAGATTTTTGGTTATAAATTTTAAGAATTTGGTTATTAAAACGGTTGTTAAAAAACTTAATAAATTATAATAATAAAGAATAATAAAGCTTTTTATTAAATTAACAAATATCGTTATCAATTTAATTAACAAAACAGTAAAAATAAAACAGTTTTTACGATTGGTAAAATTACTACGGTTATTTTATTAAGGGTAGAATTTATTAAAATAATAATATTTACTTTGATTATTAAAGTAATAAAGTTATTGTAAAAATAATAAAACTGGTGGTAAGTTGGTAGTTGTAGCAACATTTTTAGTAACTGTGAAAATAATAACGATAATTATTGAATTTACAGCTGAAATAATAACCATTTTGGTTTATATAGCCACACTAGTTGTTAAAAAAATCTATTTAAAGATTTGATAATCAATGTTATTGAAATAATAGTAGATTTGTTATTTTAATAACATGTATGATTAAAATAACAACTGGTAATATTTTTAACAATTTTTACTATTAATTTCATTGGTACTTTACAAAAGAAAGAATTATAAAACTGAAAGAAAGTAAAAAATATTATAAAAAGGTAGAAAATAATTACCCATTAACTACTATTAAATAACATAATACTATTAAATAACAATAAATTTTCATTTTGACAAAATGATTTATTAAACGAGAAAAAATAGAGTTGACCTTGTCAACTCTGTGATAACTGTACGAATTTGTTATTCTATGTGCGAATAATTAAGCCATAACTGACTATGCGACAGACAGTGATTTTAAGTTGCCGTATTACCATATTAATTTATGCAAAATTTCAGTACTGTGTTTTTCAAAATATTGTGTGTGCTAAACTACTATTGAAGTCGTACGGCAGCTACCAGAAAGAGCCAAGAAATTTTAATGAATTTTATCAAGCACATCGGCCCTACTAATATATTCGCTTGTGTGAAATATCAATATTACACCTTTTATAGTTTCTGAGATACAGCCAAATAACTTTTGAAGTTGTACGACAGCTACCACAAGAAGCCAAGAAATTTCAACGACTTTTAACAAACACATTGGCCCTACTAATATTTTCACCTTCGAACATACGTTCGTACGGGTATAAGAAATAACTCCTACTATTGTAATAACTAAAAATATCGATTTTGATAATCGCATTTGTTCAAGTAATAATAAAATTATTAATTTAATAGCAGGTGTGGTAAAAAATATATTATTCAAGTAACTGTTTGTTAACTATTTAATTTCCTTCTCTCTTTCGTTATATTATAATATAACAATAATTTCTCGATCTCATTTAATTTTAGTATGGTTTTAAATTGGTCGTGAAATGATAAGTTTTAAAAAAAAAATAAAAAAGTTGAAATAGTTATAAAATGAACTATGAATTATGTTATGATTTTTAATAAAGCAATTAAAATTCTTAAATAAAATAAGCAAAAAACTTTATATAATTCATACAATTGAAAAAAAATAATAGTTAAAGTGTTAAATGGGTGAATTAATTTATGTCTTTAATCTCCTAAATGCTGGAAGAATTTTAAAGATTAAATAAACATAACAGATACTTTGTACTTATATATAGTATTTGTTATACCTTTTTAGTTTTTTTTACTTATTCTAGTCTATTTATTATCGCATATAAAACGGAAGAAACCTGGAAAATTTACCAAATATATTTTAATGAAATAATAGAGGAGAGTCCAGATGATCTCTAGGGTTATTAGGACAAGAGCACAAGGTATTAAAGTACGTTGTGTCCTTTCTCTACTATATTTTGTTCCAAGTTTCAGTTTATATTTTTATAAACTGATACTTGGAACAAAAGAAGAAAATGTCTAAATTCTGAAGAAAATGTCTAAATGTTGTTTCCATTAACTGTATATGATTTAAAATTAATAGAGGACCTTCTAACACAAATGCTTAAAGTTTGCAATAGCAGAATTAATGAATCAGCTATCAAATATATGGTTTTGTCTTTGCAATTAAATAAAATGACGTACAATAAGTTTTCATAATAAAAACGTTTATCTATCACATCAATCAACGTTATTTATTTTGTTCATTTCAGATCGAAAACTGTTAAACACACTTTATTTGTTGCATCATATTTTAATGCCTACATCAAGATTTACAGACAACAACGGAAAAACACGCAAAAAGTTTTCAGTTCTAGATTCTAAAAACTCATTTTTGCTTTCGGGAACACAGTTCAACAGTTAGAGATCTACCACAAAGAGGACTCATAAAATTCTCCCAATTCAACCATTATCATTTGCTACCGGATTTATTGCCAGCGCTGAATAAATTTGTGTATATTAAGATTGTATAAGATGTGAACAGCTACAACATTTATTTGGAACTTCTTGTTAATTGTTTTTTATGGGATTGAAATTAAATGTCAACATACAGCTATAACGAATTTAATTAACGAAATGCAACGGTTGCAATAGTGCTTGCTAAACATTTTTAAATTTTCAATTTAAAATTTACAATAAAATTAAATAATTGCATTATCTAATTAATCAAATCGAATCTAAATAATCAAAGCGAATCGCACTAATTTAAAATATTTTTGAAAACAGTAAAACAAAATTAACACGTTGAGTTTCATGACTATAAAAAATATAAAAAATAGTTACTTTGAGTTCCATCTTATAACCCATGTTATAATTATTTATCTTTACGTTACTTATAGTTGCGGTAGTAATTCGTATGTTCAGCAATTCAACGCATATAGGTTTTTTTATATTCACCATTTTGGCATTTCAGATTTGCTTACTGGTATACATTGAGACTCAACGTGTAAAAATATGAATTCATGTACATACATTAGTAATTCATTTAGTAAAGGAACGAAAGTTAAAACTTAGATAAGGCTTACGATTGGCTCGCAAAATGTAAAAAAATACTTCCATATACCCAGCACGCTTTTCATAGTCAATCAATTAGTAATGATTTGAAATGAGCATGAACTTAAGTTTCAAGACAAAAATACAAAGCTCACCTCTCTATGCATTGTCGGTTTGCTCTAGCACACGTACAACATGCATAAATCAAATCTGATACGGTAACATATGACCGCAAGATATTGTCTAGTTTAGTTAAAATGTTGCATAAGACTAAGAAAAGGTCTTTTTAATACTCCTCACTTCAGGGAAGCTATTACGGTTTTAGTTAACATACCTATAAAAATGTAAATTTTGCTCTTATTAGAAACTCACTTTATGATAACGAAATTCCACGGTGTAAACACCCTGAATATAATCATTGAAGTTCACGAAATCAAGAGAACATTACTTTATATTTACATTATGACGAATGTTCCGATCATCTCGGCTGTAAACGAATTGAACCTTAATTATTACATGCATAAGTACTCATTTACATGTACATAAATATTTTTTCTATTACAACATAATATAAATGCATGTAATTAACGTAAAATTTCTTGACTACTTAAGTTTACGAGTATGAGTAAAAAATATTCTTTTTTGAGTATTACTTTGTTTCATATGTAATAGTATAATTCATGCACGAATTATATTTCTTTGCTGATTTGAAAATGTATAACAAAATAATAATATTAAGAATAAATTATACAGAAACGAATGTTATCACCTCTGCGGTGCGTAACAGGCTTATTAAACTTATGAAAAAATAAACACAACACGAAAAATAAAAAAGTTCTGCAACAAATCTGTGTACAGTTTATGATATGTACGTAACTAAAATGCTGAGAGAATTCAGAATAATTTTTTCTTTTTCTATGTTATTCTTCTGAAGATGAAGAATATAAGCGAAAATACACGATGGCTGCCTTCGGATTTGGCTTGTACAATATAATATAGATTTAATTTTTATATTATTATGTCGTGAATTAGTTTACAGATTTCTTTTGTTCAGATGAAGAATTTTTTATGTACAAATTTAGCTTTTCAATGTTCAAATATTTCTTGCAAAGTGAAATTTGATTTAAAATATAATTTGAACTTTACATTCAAAATAAAGTATTATTTAAAATTGAAATTTGAAATATTGTTTATTTACGTTTAAATTATAGATTAACATTTTAATGTGTTATATTGAAAATAATCAGAAATTCAGATGGAAAAAAATTTATGTAAAATAAAATTTATATTTTATATTTCCTTTTTATTCACAAATTACTGATATTTTATGTTGCAAATTGGAGTTATGTATATTAAATTGAAAACAAGAATTATTTTGGAGTCAAGTTGGAATTTATACGTTCAAACAAAGCTCAAGTCTTGTAGATTTCTTCGACAGAATACGATGAATTCGGATTTCTGACAGCCTTCTTCAATTTTCCACTTTTCAGGCAACCGTTTTTTCGCCCTATTTAGTCGTTTAATCCTCCTCTTTAGATCAGAAAAACGGTCATTTCATCATGTAATATTCCTTTTAATGTGCCTTACTATAAAGAGGACGACTATCCATCTATTGCGGAAGTCCTCTACCTCTAGAGGACATATATCTATTAATAAGTAGTTCGACTCGTTCCATTCCATTATTTTTCGTTTGCTTGCCACTTCTAAAATTTTAAAATATGTATTCCATTTTTCTTTATAAATAGATGGTAATAAGAGTTGTGCAGGCAAGAAAAAAAATGTGGTCAGCACATAACCGACCGTATTGTTTATTGTCTAGTTAAATGAAAGTGTTACAGAATATTATAAAAATGTCAGTTAAATACTTCTTTCCAATTTTTATCTGATCATTGGTGCAGTGGTTATGGCACCGGCCCTTTAACCGAAGGGTCTCGGGTTCAAACCCCGGTCAGGTCACTATAAAAAATTATATTCAATATTATATAACTTAATATGCAATACTAATAAATATTAAAAAACAAGTAATTTTCAAATATTCATAATATTCGATACTAAAAACTAAGAAAAATAAACAGTAAATATTAATAACCTCAAATAATTAATATAAATAAAACTACGGCAGGCTAGTCACCTACCTAGCTAACTCTCTATGACTATAAGAAACTAGGGCATGATAGATATCATGCACTAGCCCTATACTCCTCCTAGGAGTAAAGAAGGAAAAAAAAAAATTTTTAGGACATTAGTAAGCTTATAGTTAACATACTTAGAAAAATGTAAATTTGGTTCTTAGTAGAGTTTCGCTTTCCCTGAAATGCTCGCCAGTTAGTTTCGGTAACAACCAGAACTCAAATATCAAATTTCAAGAAATTCCATCAATTTGTTCTGTGGATATGGTGAAAAATGTAAAATCGGCCCGCAAATCAGTTCTCGAGCCCTGATCTTTTCAAAAAAGTTATATGTTCATTCCTTTAATATGATTAATTCATATATTAAATTTCAATGAAATCGGTTGATTATTTCTCTTTATATACACAAAAGTGTATGTTTGGCCCGTAGTAAACGCCTAGTTGCCGATGCCTGATTTCTTCCAAAACATAGCAATTTTTGCGGACGGTCGAGCTGAGCTTATATATAAAATTTCAAGTAAATCGGTTGAATATTTTCTTCAAAATGTTCAAAAATGTAAAACAGGCCCGCTAAAAAGTGCAGTTCCCGAGGCCTGATTTAACCAAAAGTTGATCGATCCGTGCCATGGTGAAAACAAACTTTCATATAAAATTTCATCAAAATCGGTTTAGCCGAACTTGAGATACACGCATGCACACACAGACCGACAGACCGACAGACGGACAGACCGACAGGTTGCTAAAAATAGTTTACTTACACTTCCCTACTGTGGAGAAGTGCATTCCCACCGAAAACTCGATATGCAAAATTTGTTGCCATCACATAACCTACCTATTGTTTACACAATACGGTCGGTAAAAAGAAATATTGTAAACAAAAGAGTGTATCAAAAACAGTGAACTGAAATAAAATTAAATAAAGTTAGGTAAACATTCAATCAATATAGATGGAAAACTGTAAAACCCTTCAGAAGGCAATGGAAAACCGCTGAAGTATTGAGCCTTATTCTAGTTGCCGAAGTAGAGCGACAATTGTCGTCACGACTTGAATTTGATATTCTAAATGGCGATTAAAGTGACACGTGTCGTGGAATAGCGGGAAAATGTGTTTCAGGTACACATGTCGTAGTGAAACGACGTTTTTTGTCGAAAAGTATTTAACAAGTGACAAGCGAGATGGATACACCAAAAATGTAAGTTTAAACAAGACAATTTAATAAAAATATAAAAAATAATAAATTTTGTAATTTAATACATAAATTAAACCATATAATATATAGTTTGAAAGTCTGTAATAGCTTATAAATCTGTGAATAAAATAAAATATTTGTAAATAATGTATTTGAAAAAATTATTATCTTACACTCCATTTGGCAAATCCAATGGATTAGAGCTGTCCCTAATCTTAAATCTTTTGATCCTTAATTGTTGCTTTTTTTCAATTTCATCACTCTCGGAGTCTGATGAATCCATAAACCATAATGCAAATGACGACATTTTTTACTTCCGTATTTAAAAAAATAAATATATACACCGAATTTTTATTTTTAGTTTGAACTTTACTCGCCAAAATTTCTTTTTAAAATGTATCAATTTCACTTGAAACGTTTCATTTTCTTTTATTTCTCGCAGTCACGTCACTCGACAACTAGAATACCACATTTCAAATGATGTGACAACGACAACGACAAATGTCACGTAAGTGACGCGACAACTAGAATAAGGCTCATTATTTCCTAGAAAAAAATCACATGCAAACACGAACAACACAGCCTCGGACACCCCAGTCTCCGGTAGGGGGGTGTTACAAATACCCGGAGGAAAAACAAAAAATAGATTAAGAATAGGTACCTGGAACGTTAATAGTTTGTATGAGCCAGGCAAATTTGCGAACACAATTCAGGAAATGCAAAGATTAAAAATAGATATTATGGGAATTTGCGAAACATGGTGGCCAAACGGTGGTGAATGTTCGGCACAGGGCGTAAAATTTCACTACTCTGGCAATAATTCTCCTAGTCATCGGAATGGTGTCGGTATAATAGTCACAGAACATCTGGCCAAATGTGTAACAAACTTTATACCACTCTCAGACAGACCAATGCTATTAAAAATTAACACCAAACCTGTAGAACTAAATGTAATTCAAATATACGAACCAACGGCAGAAAAAGATGATGACGAGATTGAAGGGTTTTACTGTGAAATAGAAAGTTTACTAAAATTAACGAAACCACATGAAATGACTATTATAATGGGGGACTTCAACGCAAAAATTGGTACTGGAAGAGTCAATGATATAGTAGGTCCATTTGGCTTAGGAACAAGAAATAACAGAGGTAACCGTCTAATAGAGTTCTGTGAAGAATTTAAATTCAAAGTTACAAATACGTGGTTTCGTTTACCACCTAGAGAATTTTACACCTGGAAATCGCCGTAAGATAATGCTGGAAATATCTTGCGAAATCAAATTGACTTTATCTTAATAAACAAAAGATTTGCTACTTCTATAATGAAGGTTTCTACTTACCCGGGGGCTGACGTGCCATCAGACCACAACTTATTGCAGGCTAATGTTAAAATCAAATTAGCAAGAATAAAAAGAAATCGGCAACAGTCAAAATTAGATGTAGGCAAATTGAAAAATGATGAAATCAAATTTAACATTTCTACAGAAGTTAACAACCGATTAAATACAATTATTAATGATAATATAGAAAACGTCAACATATATTGGAATAAAGTAAAAACAATGCTATATGACACATCTAAGAACATTTTTGGAACAAAGAAATCTGTTCCAAAACAAAGATGGATGACAACAGCAATTTTATCACTAATGGATGAAAGAAGAACACACAAAAATAAAAATATTTTAGAATATCGTCGAATACAAAAAGTAATTGGAAAGGAATGTCGGAAGGCAAAAGCAAATTGACTAAAGAATGAATGCGAACAAATCGAACAAATACAAAGTACACACAACGATTTCAGCCTTCATAGAAAAATAAAGGAAATATCGGGACAATATCGTAAATCAAATCCATCTATTCTGGTAAATCATAGAAACCAAATAATTGTTGATAGCGAAGAAAGAAAAGATTTTTGGGCAAAATACATTAAAGAGATATTCTCAGATCACAATAGACTTGATATTTCGAATAACAACTCGTCCAGTAGGCAACTTACGGGACCATCTATAACACGAGATGAAGTTCGAAAAGCTATACAATTATCTAAAGATAACAAAGCGGCTGGACCAGATGATTTACCGGTTGAAATAATAAAACTTATAGATGATGAGAAATTGATGATTCTGGAAAAATTATTTAATCATATTTACGATAGTGGACAATTCCCTACAGATTGGCTAAAATCCACCTTCATACCATTGCCAAAAAAGAACAATGCCAAAACATGCAATGAACATCGTTTGATAAGCCTGATGAGTCACGCTTTAAAAATATTCTTGAAAATACTACATAATCGAATCTATAAGAAATGTGAAAAAAAGTTTGGGTACAACCCAGTTTGGATTCAAAGATGGAACAGGAACGCGAGAAGCGCTATTTAGTATTCAAGTTTTGGTACAAAATTGTCGCGATGTTAGGAAAGACGTATTTTTGTGTTTCATCGATTATGAAAAAGCGTTTGACAATGTCAATCATAACAAATTAATGGACATATTAGCTAAAATGCTTATTGATGAGAAGGACATGCGATGCATACAAAATTTATACTGGCATCAAAGTGCGCATGTTAGAACAAAAGATGGTATCACAAACGAAGTGGAAATAAAAAAAGGAGTTCGACAGGGTTGTATACTATCACCGCTTTTATTTAACATCTACGCCGAAGCGATTTTTCAAGAGGCAATCGAAACAATGCCAACAGGGATAAAAGTGAATGGCAAATACATAAACAACATTCGATATGCAGACGACACAACCCTAATAGCCGACAATATGAATGATCTTCAATCCTTGGTTGATCAAGTAAGCGAACATAGCCAAGAATACGGTCTTCACATAAATATAACAGAAACAAAATTTATGATTGTGAGTAGGGATAAGACACCATTTCTAAATGCCAAAATCCTAATTACCAATGCACCAATAGAACGAGTCAACAGTTTTAAATACCTTGGTTGCTGGCTTACTGAAGAATGAAGCTCCGAAAAAGAAATTAGGTGTAGAATAGAAATGGCACGCAACTCTTTCTGCAAATATAATAAAATTTTAACTAGCAGAAATATAAACATAAACTTAGGACTGCGATTTCTGAAACGCTATGTTTGGTCAGTTCTACTTTATGGTGCGGAATGTTGGACTTTGGGAGCTCCGTTGATGAACAAATTGGAGGCTTTTGAAATGTGGTCATACAGAAAAATGCTCCGAATATCATGGACGGAACACATTTCAAATAATGAAGTCCTTCAAAGAGTCCAAAAAACAAGGGAACTACTAAGGAACATAAAGAAAAGAAAGACTTCATATTTCGGACATGTCATGCGCGGAGAAAAATATCAACTTTTGCAACTTATAATTCAAGGCAAAATTGAAGGCAGAAGAGGCGTTGGTCGAAAACAACTGTCCTGGCTGCGTAATATACGGAACTGGACCGGTATACAAAATATTGGCGAGTTGATGCGTATTGTGGAAGATCGAGACCAGTTCAAAGAAGTAGTTTCCCAAATTTCTTAAAAATTCAAAACTAACATCAGCAATAGTAACAACAACAGTAAAACTATAACATGTGATTCGCTTACGTCCAGCTAATGGATATGCAGACGAAAAAAAGATAAACATTTTGAATTATATTATTTTTATTTTGATAACAAAATTTGTTTTTTCATATTTTATTTTTCTTTTCATAAAAGTTAGCTACCTCTAGAGGACTTCCAGATCCCCAGCAGTCATAGCACTTGCCACTATCAAGCCTACACGTTCCTTCAAATCTCTATAAGTTTGTACTTTTCTTGACTCGATAGTACGTCGGCACCTGTTGTCCAGCGGGTGTCTGGAACCCAATGTGAAGGCCACTAGCATCGCAGGCAATTACCACCACTTTTGCAGTACGCTTAGCGAAGTCCACCAGCCGTTCGAGACCAATTGAAGGGCAAGTTACATATACAAAAGTAACAATATGTAGAATCACTCCTAATCTATAAATATAATTATTAGAATCATAAATTACATTTTTTATTTCTATTTTTTCAGTTACAATTTCTTTTCATTTGTTTATTTTTTTATTTTTTTTAAACACTTACATATGAAATTTCATATATGTATCTAACACGATAAGAGCTTATTTAAAATCATTGTACTAATTTTGTAACGAATTCGTTTTAACAAATTTTTTAATTAGCAAATATACTTATAACAAACAAAATATATAATTAAAATTTATTTCAACACTGAGGAAACAAACCAATTGAAAACCTAAATTTAAATTAACACAATAAACTTATCACGCGTTTCTTTTCTTATGTATTACCGACCGAATTTTATATACAATAGGTAGGTTATGTGATGGCAACAAATTTTGCATATCGAATTTTCGGTGGGAACGCACTTCTCCATTTTTGGGTATATAAAGGGCAGTAATCAACCAATTTCATTGAAATTTAATATTTAAATTCGATGTATTAAAGCAACGAATCTATAAATTTTTTGGAAAAATCAGGGCTCGGAAACTGATCTCGGAGCCGATTTTACATTTTTTTACCATATCTACGGGACGAATTGATGGAATTTCTTGAAATTTGATATTTGAATTCCGGTTGTTACCGAAGCCAACTGGCAAACATTTCAGTGAATTCTGATAGCACAAAGCGAAAGAGCCAAATTTACATTTTTCTAGGAATGTTACCTATAAGCTTAGTAATGCCCTAAAAATTGGAAAGAAGTACTTAACATGCATTTTTATAATATTCTGTAACACTTTTACTTAACTAGAAAAAACACATTGCGGTTGGGTTTGTGTTGACAATATCAAATTTCTTTTTCTTATTTTTAAATTAACGAGAAAAAATAGGGTTGACCATGTCAACTCCGTGATACCCGTACGAATTTGTTATTCTATGTTAAATATGTCATAGCTGACTATGGGAGAGACTATAACTTTAAGTTCCCATATTAATTTATGTAAAATTTCAGTACTGTGTTTTCCATATTTTATAAGATATGGCCAAACTACTGTATAGCAGGTACAAGAAGTTATAAGGCAGGTACAAGAAAGCGCCAAGCAATTTCAACGAATTTCCTCAAACACTTTTGCAGTACTAATATATTCGCTTTTGTGAAATTTCAATAGCTTTTATAGTTTCTGAGATATAGCCAAATAACTTTTGAAGTTGTGTGACAGCTACCAAAAGGAGCCAAGAAATTTCAACGACTTTTATGAAACACATCGGCCCTACATTATTATTTACTTGTGTGAAATTTCAATGCCAAAACTTTCATAGTTTCTAAGATATAGTCAAATAAATTTTGAAGTTGTATGGCAGCTACCCGAACCGGTACCCCGATCATATCCAATTTAAATATGGTTCTGGCATTATCTATAATAAATAATTTGTGAAAATTTGGTGAACTTAGCTCAATTAGTTTTGATCTATCGTACGGACGGACAGATAAAGCTAAATCGAATCAGAATTCGACGCTGATCAAAAACATACACTTGAGTCTATATCTCAGACCATTATTTCTTAACATTACAAACGGTAAGGCAAATATAGTATACGCTTCGAACATACGTTCGTATGGATATAAAGATCAGTTTGGTTTCCGACCTAACAGAATATAACTATTTTATTAATTATTTTATTTTTAGTCTTAATTAATATTTAATAAAGGAAAAATTAAAAATTAAATCTTTACTGTCCTTTTCTTACACATTACAAACTGGTGCAGTCCTCGGTAGGATAGTTTAACTAATTATTCAAAAAACACATTACGAAATAACTGTGGTTAAACAAAAAATTATTCTACAGAAAAACAAAATTTTAAATAACTCTATAAAAAGTGTAAAAGTGTTATTACAGTTAAAAATATTTTACTATGTACATATATCTTTATCAATAAACAAAGCAACATTACATAAATAATAGTTAGTTTCCATTTTAAACATTAATCAATTCACATAAATTTTATAAACCGTATTGTGTGAAAAAAAAACAAAACAAAATGCTTACCCACTGTTGAAGAAGTGGGTCAAAATGACGTTATTAATCTGATAGTGGAATCAAATATGGCAAACGGAATAAGCAAAGTATATCTATTAATAAGTAGTTCGACTCGTTCCTTCTTCCACTTCCAAAACTTTAAAATTGCCACTTCCAAAATTTTAAAATATTCCATTTTTCTTTAGAGATAGATGGTAATAAGAGTTGTGCAAGCAAGAAAAAAACGAAATATTGTAAACAAAAGAGTGTATCAAAAACATTGAACTGAAATAAAATTAAATAAAGTTAGGTTAAACATTTTATTATTTTTATTTTGATAACAAAATTTGTTTTTTCATATTTTATTTTCCATTTCATAAAAGTTGGTTAAAAACATTCGAATGTATGAAAGTAATAGCTATATAAATTTAAAATTTCATACTTTGTTATAGATACATACCTATTCAAGGTAAATACACAATATGATGTAGTAATACGAGTATGTATGTACCTCGTTTATATGGCTGCTTCAAGTTTATTATTGTCTATATAAATGTTACTTGACCTGAAGCCAGCTT